CCCAAAAAAACCCCCCCCTTTTCCAAAAATATTTCCCCCAAAAAATTTTTTTAAAAAAAAAAAATTTCAAAAATTTAAAAAAAATTTTTTTAAAACTTTTTTTGGGGGGGGAAAAAAAAATTTTTCCAAAAAAACCCCCTTTTCCCCCCTTTTTTTTTTAAATTTTTAAATTTTAAAAAAATTTTAAAAAAAAAAATTTTTTTTTTTTTGGGAAAAAAAAAAAAAAAAATTTTTTTTCCTTTTTTTTTTTCCCGGGGGGAAAAAAAAAAAAAATTCCCTTTTTTTTTTTTAAAAGGAAATTGGGGGGGGGGTTTTTAAAATTTTAAACCCCCCCAAAAAAACCCCGGGTTTTTTTTTTCCCTTTTTCCCCCAAAAAAATTTTTGGTTTTTCCCTTTTTTTTCCCCCCTTTGGGGGGGTTTTGGAAAAAAAAAAAAAAAAGGGGGTTTTTTAAAAAAAAATTTTTTTTTTTTTTTTTTTTTAAAAAACCCCCAAAAAAAACCCGGGGGTTTTTTTCCCGGGGCCTTTCCCGGGGGGCCCCGGGGGGGGAAAAAAAGGGGAAAAGGGGGGAAAAAAAGGGGGGGGGTTTTTTTTTGGGGGGGGGGGGCCCCCAAAACTTTTTTTTTTTAAAAAAAAGGGTTTTGGGGTTTTTTTTTTTTAAAAAAAAAAAATTTTTCCCTTGTTGGGGGGTTTTTTTTAGCCCTTTTTGGGGGAAAAAAAGGTTTAAAAAAAAAATTTTCCCCCCCCAAAAAAAAAAAAATTTTTTAAATTTTTAAAAAAAACCCTTTAAAAAAAAAAAAAAAATTTTTTTTTTGGGGGGAAAAGGGAAAAAAATTTTTAAAATTTTCCAAATTTTTGGAAAAAAAAAAAGGGGGGGAAAACAAAAACCCCAAAAAAAAACCCCCCAAAAAAAAGGTTTTAAATTTCCCCTTTTTAAAAAAAAAAAAAAAAAATTTTCCACAAAAAAAATTAAATTTTCCCCCCAAAAACCGAAAACCCCCTTTTGGGGGCCCCCCCTTTCCCAAAAAAATTTTTTAAAAAAAAAAAAAAAAAAATTTTCCCCCCCCCAAAAAACCCCCAAAAAACCCCCCGGGAAAAAAAAAAAAAGGGGGGGGGACCCCCCCCCCTTTAAAGGGGGGGGGGGCCCCCCCAAAAGGGGGGGGGGGGGGAAAGGGGGGGGTTTTTTTCCCCCCCGGGGGGGTTTTTAAAAAAAAAAAATTTCCCGGTTTCCCCCCCCAAAATAAAAAAGGAAAAAAAGGAAAACCCCCCGGGGGGGTTTTTGGGGGAAAAAAAAGGGGGGGGGGGAGGGGGGGGGGGGAAAAAAAGGTTTTGGGGGGGGGGAAATTTTTTGGGGGAAAGGGGGAAAAGGGGGGGGGGGGGCCCCGGGGGGGCCCCCGGGGGGGGGGGAAAAGGGGGGGGGTTTGGGGAAGGGGGGGGAAAATTTTTTAAAAAATTTTGGGGGAAATTAAAAAAAAGGGGGGGGGGGCCCCCCCCCCCGGGGCCCCGGGCCCCCCGGGGGGGGGTTTTTTTTTTCCCCCCCCCCTTTTTTGGGGGGGGGCCCCGTTGGGGGGGGGAAAATTTTTAAAAAGGGGGCCCCCCCGGGGGAAAAAAAGGGGGGCCCCCCGGGGGCCCCCCCAAAAGGGGGGGGGTTTTTTAAAAAGGGGGCACCCCCCGGGGGAAAAAAAAATTTTTTAAAAAATTTTGGGGGGGGGAAAAATTTTGGGGGGGGGAAAATTGGGGGGCCCCCAAAAAAAAACCCCTTTAAACCGGGGTTTTTTTCCCCCCTTTTTAAAGGGGGAAAAAAAAGGGGGGGGTTTTAAACCAAAAAAACCCCCCAACCCCAAAAAAAAAAAAGGGGGGAAAAAGGCCGGGGGGGGAAAAAAAAAAGGGGCCGGGCCCACCCCTTAAGAGCGTCTGCAAAAGGGAAAAAGGGTAAATGTAAAAAATTTGGGAAATTTGATGACTTTTTTTTCCTTTTCCTTTTGGATGTTCTTTTTAAAATGTTTGTGTTCCCTTTAAGAGAGCACAATAGTTGGGGCTAAGGGGGGAGAAAACCGGGAAAAGAGGGACTTTTTGGAAGGGAGAAACAAGGGAACAACTGGTTTACATTTCCCCCCCCAAACCCTGATTTTTTTGCACAATTTGGTTTTTTGGGAGAAAATCAAAATCTTTTGCCCAATAATTGGGAAAATGACCCGAAAAGAGCTGACTGATTGGTAAAAAGCAGGGGGGAGGCCCTGGGGGAAAGGGCGGTCATAAAAGGGTTTGGGAAGGGAAATTGGAAGGGGATCATGAAAACAGGGAAAACCATGTGTTTAAATGTTTTTGGGTTTAACCTTTTCCCCAATTCCGCTCCAGCCATTCCCTTTGAGCCCGTCCCCCAATTAGGGTGCCCCCCAAACCCCCCAAAATGGTAAAAAATACCAATTAGTGGGAAAAAAAGATCAAAATTTTGGGGCTGACGGGGTCCCCAAGTTGAAAAAAACAGCCCCCAAAAAATACAGGGGGGAAAAAAAAGTATTTAGTCAGCCCCCAAAATTGTCCCAAGTTCTCCCCATTTAAAAAAAGATGGAGAGGCCGAAAATTTTCATCATAGGTACACGTCAATTTATGACAGACAAATGAAAATTTTTTTTCCCCCAAAAATCACATTGTAGGTTTTTTAAATAAATTTTTATTTGCAATTTTTGGTGGAAAATAAGAAATTTGGGGTCCCCTAAACCCAAGCAAAGATTTCTGGCTCTCACAGCCCCGTAAAAACTTCTTCTTTGGAGGCTCCTTTTCCCTCCACTCTTTTCCTGTATTAAGGCACCTTTTTGAACTTGTTTCTTAAAAAAAAACCCTGCCAAAACCCTAAAAACAGTCAAAATCCAAACTAACTTTGGCCAAGCCCAAAAAGCTTCAAAGGACACCAAAACCCAAAAAATTTGGCCCTTTGCCCGGGCGGGAAGACTGAATTTTCAATGGGAAACAGTTTGGGTTTTGAAAAAAATAAAATTGGTGGGAGCAATTTTTGGGAAATGGAAGCATACAAGACCACTGATAATCTCCCTCATCTGGGGCCCCCCACCCCCGATCTCACCCCGTGGGGTAAAAAGGGATCACAAGAACGGTGGGGCCAAAAATCCCTTTAACCCCCAAAGGGGGGAAAACTAGTGAATGACCTCCCAGAGAGCGGGGACCAAATTTAACAAAGCCACCTCATAAAACACTAGGGCCCCCCGGGACTAACCCCTTGAGTGCAGACGTGCCCCCCCCTGCTTACGCCATTAAAAGGGCCGGGCCCCCTCTGAAGTTTGCTAAAAGTGCTTTTTGTGGATCCAGAAAGGATTGGGAGAATGTCATATGGTCAATGAAACCAAAATAATTTTTTGGTAAAAACTAAAACCTCGTTTTTTTGGAGGACAAGGAATCCCTGATTTCCCTCCAAAAAAAACCCCAACCCTACGGTAAAGGATGGGGGGGGAAAAACATCATGTTTTTGGGGTGTTTTTTTTTTTGGCAAAGGGCCCAAAGGCGATAAACCCGGGTAAAGGAAAGAAGGGAAGGGGGCCAATCGTGAGATTTTGAGTAAAAACCCCTTCCATCGCAGGGCATTGAAGTGAAACTTTGGCTGGGTTTTTTCAGCATGACAATATCCTAACACCCCCGGCCCGGGGCAACAAAGGAGTGGCTTGTAAAAACCCTTTTCCCAGGGTCCGGGGGGGGCCTACCATTCCAGATCTAAACCCCAAAGGGAAAAATCTTTGGAGGGAGTTGAAAGCCTTTTTTGCCCAGCGACACCCAAAAAAAATCACGCTTTGGGGAAATCTCCTGGGGGGAAGGGGGGCCAAAATCCCCAAGAACAGTTTTGGGGAAAAACATTGTAAAATTATTTACAGAAAAATTTTTTAAACCCTGTTTTAAATTCCCAAACCAAAGGGTTTTAAAACAAAGTATTGAAAAAAAACTTTTTTTATTGACCAAATACTTTTTTTCCACCTTTTAAATTTCCCAAATAAATTCATAAAAAAATCCTATAATGTGTTTTTATGGTTTTTTTTTTTCTAAATTTTGTCTTAAATATTTGACGTGAAACCTGGGATAAAATGACAGGCCTCTCTAAATTTTTTTTAAGGGGGAATTTCCCACAATTGGTGGCTAACAAAACAAATTTTTTTTCCCCCCCCTTTATCCAAAATTGAACAAAGGGCCATAAGACATCCGTTTCATTCTGTCATAGCTTAAGCGGGGGTGTCAAACTAAATTTTACTAGGGGCCACAGGGAGGAAAATCTTTTAAAAAAATGGGCCGGGGAACCGGGAAAAAATCTTTGGTAATTAACTTAAAAAAAAAACAATTCAGATTTTTTTTCTTTTTTTAATACGATAAACCATACAACAAAAAGCTGGGGGCCGGGGACGGGTGTTTTCCAAAATAGACAAGCAAAAAAATCACTTTAAATCATAAAAAACGTAAAGTTTTTTAAAAATTTCAAAAGAAAAAGAAAACAAAAACCCACAAATGCCTCAGTGTTTCCCGGGAAACTGTTTCACAGATCCCCAAAAACTTATCAGGGGGTCTTTTCCCGGGGCAGAAAATGTAAAAAAATAATGAAATCCTTTTTTCCCCAAACAAGGCAAAAAACCACAGAGCCCAAAAATGGGGTTTAAAAACAAATAAAAAAAAATAAATTTAAACAAAGTAGCCAAAAACAAAAAAAACATATAAATAAATCTAAAAAGCTTTGGCTCAAATCCCAAAACAGTCCATTTTTTTATTTTTAAACCCGCTTCATTTTGCCACATTTTGGGTCGCGCACAAATTTTGGACGGGGGAAGTGAGTGTCCCCCACCGGCTTTTTGGGTGAAAAGGGGTTTTGTGTTTGGTTTGAATAAATTTTTTCCCTAACTGAATGACGTAAAAATTTTACCCCTATAAATGACTAAGGGGGAGTGGCGGGGAAGGGTTTTTTTTTTGGGGGGGAGAGGGGGGGAAACTAAAAGAAATTTGGTGGGGAGAATCAAAGCGGGGGGGGGGCTTTGAGCGGGGGATGTGTGTGAATCTGTAAAGACGGGGGAGCGGAGAGGAAGAGGGGGGGCTTCCTGCAGACCGCTCGGATTTTTGAATTGAAAAAAAGTAAATCTTGTTTTCCCTAAATTAAACCGAAAAGGGCAAAAAATGACTTTATTTTTTTGTTTCAATTTTGGCGGGTCCAAATCCACTAAAAGATGGGAAAAATCCTGTCTCCCAACGTGTTTCTTGTCAGGCTATATTTGCAAAAGCCTCCCCGTTTTCCGGGCCCCAAAAAAATTCCCGGGGCCTTCATCATGCTTTTTTTTAAAAAATTTAAACCCTCACTAAAGGGTTTTTAAAAAACCACTGCGTTTTCCCATGGGAAAATGGGGTTTAGCTAGCTTTCACTAAAAGGTCACGGATGCCCGGGCCTGTGAGTAAAAAAAGACTGCTGTTTTTTTTCCCCAGACCCGTAAACCATTTCATTCCCCTTCTTCATCCCCGCTGCCCTTTGGAAAAAGTTGTCATTTTTGGTCCCCCCATGAAGATTTCAAAGTGGCGCAAAGGGTTTATATTCTTTCAGAAACTGAACATGCCCTAACACACCAAACTTTTCCCGCTTTCCCTTTAAATTCCCGTGTTTAAAATAGGATACCATTTTTTTTTGGGAAAACACCTTCCCATTTCGGCGTCCCCCTTCCCCTTTTTTTGCAAAAACATTTGGGGGAAATGGGGGTTTGCCAAAGCACATAATGTTAAAAGAAAGCCGAAATAAATACCCGCGGGAAAAACAAAGTACTCATTGGCTGCACGTGCTTTGCCCTACTTGCTCGGGCCCCGGTTATAAACGTTTTGCTTGCTAACCCAAAATTTGCAAATTGGGGCCCCTCCATCCTTTCACAATTGGAAAAGTTTTTTTATTAAAAAAATTTTCCCAGGGCTTTTTTATACTTAAAAAAGAAAGATGTTTTTTTTTTTTTTTTTTTTTTTTAATCATCTCAGGGGCCGGGAATTAAACCCGTTTGCGGGCTAAACTGGCCGCGGGGAAACTTAAAAACCCCCCTGGTTTTAGGAAGGGGGTTTGTGACAAATTGGGGGACGCAAACGGACGAGAAAAAACCTTTGGGCACTGCGAGAGTTTGGACTGCTTTTGGAAGCCGGGAGGGAGGGGTCGGAGTGGATATCATTTTGGGTTTTTCCCAAAATAAAAATGAAAATTTTCACGGGCCCCCCATTTTTTTTATTTTTTTTGAAAAAATAAAGGAAGTTGTTTTGAAAATGCTTTTGACACTGTTTCCACAATGCAGTTTAAATAAAATTAGGGGAAAAAACAAACAGTGTATAAGCTTTTAAAATCATAAATCCACCATCATGAAAATCGCGCTTGCCACTTTTCCGGGGGAAAGGGGGGGAAATAAATTTAAAACTTTTCAAAAAAATTGCCAGTGCAGAGATAAAATATAACCAAGCCAATTTGCCCGCAAAATTCCAATGCACCCTAAATGTGGTATTTTCAAATTGAAACTCTGACTATTGACCACCAGGGGTTTTTCTGTCACGATTTGTCTGAAGAAAACGGACCAATAAAGCGCGCGTGGATGAACATTATGACTTTATTTAAAAAAGGGAACCACGAAAAAAAACAAATTACGTATTTAATTCCCCTGTAAAACTTTACAGAAACAAAGGAAAAAAAAACCCCCAATTTCCCCACACAAAAAAAATACAAAAAAATATGGCGCCCAATCAGAGATAACGAGCCGACCGCTGCACCGTTACCTCCGATTGGGGGGGCAAGACCAAACCTAAAAATACACACAACCAAATCCCAACCCTAGAAATAAACCCAAAAAACCCAACCCCAAACCGAAAAAAACCCTTTCAACCAAAACCCCAACCAAATACCCAACCCAAAAAAATACACCCTGGCTCAAACCCCCAAAATTTTCCCCCAAACCAGGTGTTACATTACCCCCCCCTAAAGGTGCGCACTTCCCCCCCCACCACATACAGGGCTCGGGGGGGTCGGGTGGGGGTTTTGTCCCCGGGGGCGTTTTGGGCCCCGGTTCCCTGGTCCCCACCCCACCCTTTTCACCACCCCCTTTCCCCAGGGCCCCCTCCACATGGGCCACCCCCCAAATTTAAAACCCCCCCCGGGGTTAGGGGGGCACCGGACTAAGGGGCAAACACCGGGCTAAGGGGGCAACCCGGAAAAAGGGACAGTACCTGACCCAGCGGGTCTGGGGGGATCCTGGCTGGACGGCCTTTTGGCGGTCCTGGCGGAGGTTTTTGGCGGTCCTGGCTGGGGGAAGGGTTGGTGATCCCGGTGGAAGGCTCTGGCGGGTCCCGGCTGGACGGTCTGGGGATCCCCCGGGTGGGGCGGCTCTGGGGGTTTCCCGGCTGGCGGCTTGGCGGGGGTCCTGGCTGGCGGAAGCCTTTGGTTATCCTTTCTTTGGGGGAAGGCCCCCGGGTGATCTTTCTTGGGGAAAAGGGTTGGGGACCTGTCCCGGGGGAAGGCTCTGGCTGATTTCCCGTCTGGCGGGAAAGGGCCCCGGCTGTCCTGTCGGCGGAAGGGTCTGGGGTGATCCTGTCTGGCGGAAGGGTCTGGGGCTCCTGTCCCGGCGGAAAAGGGGCCCGGCTGAAACCGGGCTGGGGGAAGGGTTGGCGATTTGTCTTCGGAAAAGGGTCTGGGGGCTCCCGTCTGGCGGGGGCTCTACGGCTTTCCCGGGCTGGGGAAAGGTCTGAAGGCTCATGGCAACGGGCGGGTTTTCAGGCTCAGTAAAGACGGGCAGTTTTCCGCGGCCTTGGCAGAAGGACGTTAGACGGCGTTGGGGCCCGACGGGCAGTTTAGACGGCGGTTTGGGGAGACGGGCGTTTTAAGGGCCCCCTTTGGGGAGACGGAAAAGTTTAGGCCCCCTTGGGCAGACGGCAGGGCTCTGGCCCTTTTTGAGGCCATCGTAGGGCCCGGTGCGTTTGGGGGCCGGAACAAAAGGGTTAAACCGGGGGCCCGAGGGCACGCATCTCAGGGCAGTCGGGGAAGAACAACCCGGGGTTTCTGGACCCCCGGGGGCACCGTAGGCCTGATGCGTGGTTTCCGGAATGGATCCGGGCCCCGGGGTGGGGGAAAAAGCATCCAGGGCTAGGGCGGGGGGAAGCAACAGGGTAGCTGGCCCCTTTTGGGCCGCACTAAGGGTTTAGGGGAGACCCGGGAACGGGGCATGCGGGAAACCCGGGGACTCACTTTAAAAGCCTATGCGGAGAGCAGCAAAAAGGGCCCAAAAGGGGAATCGGGAGCCCCAAACGGGAGGCTTGGGGGGGTTGGGGGGGCACGGTGGGAAAGGGGGGGCCCGACGCGCCCCGTATCCTGGTGCGAGGGGGCCGGAAAAAAGGGGGGTGGGGGGGAAAAAAGAAAAAGCCCCCTGGTGGGGGGGGCCCGGAAAAGGGCCGGGGGCGGGGCGGGGAAGGAAAGAAAACCCGGGTTTTGGAAGGGGCCCGGGGAACGGCCCGGGGCCGGGCTGGCGAGCGAAACCGACCCCTGGTGCAAGTGGCCGGAACAGGCCGGGCCGGGTGGGGGAAGCCCCACCGTATCCTTGGTGCGAGGGTCGTAACAGGCCGGACCGTACTGGAGGCACACACCACTGGCTCTACCCCGGGAACTGGAAAGGGCCGGACCCGGACTGGTAATACACCCCAGTACCACTCCGCCGTGCCCCTACATCTCCTTTCCCTACTTTGGCCAGTTGACCCCCGTAACCTGGTGGCCTCTTGGAATTCGCCCCCTTCTCTGCCTCCGTAGCCCGTCGTCCAAGCCATGTGCCCCCCCCAAAAAACTTTTTGGGGTTGCCCTCTCGTCCTTCCAACGATGATCCTGCTGACGCCGTTGCTCCTCTCGCCGTCGCCTCTCCACCGTCTCGCTCCATGGACGGCGATCCATCCCATCCAGGATCTCCTCCCAAGTCCAGGACCCCTTTCCGTCCAAAATCTCCTCCCATGTCCAGGAAGCCTTTGGAGCTGGGTCCTGTTGCCGCTTGACACGCTGCTTGGTCCTTTGATGGTGGGGTTTTTCTGTCACGATCGTCTGAAGAAGCGGACCAATACGCAGCGCGTGGAGTGAACATGATGACTTTATTTAATAAAGCAACCACGAAAAACAACAAATGACGATAGTGAAGTCCTCTGTAACACTGACAGAAACATGGAACAAAAACCCACAATTCCCACAAGAAAACATACAGAATAAATATGGCTCCCAATCAGAGATAACGAGCCGACAGCTGACACTCGTTACCTTCCGATTGGGAGTCAATGACCAAACCTAGAAATACACACAACAGAACTACCAACATAGAAATACACCCAAAACACAACCAACCGAATACACCCTTACAACCAACCCCACAACAAATACCCAACAAAACAAATACACCCTGGCTCAAATCCAAAAGTCCCGGAGCCAGAGTGTTACACTATCTGCACATTGCTGCCCTACCTCTAGCTAGCATCTAGCTATCTATCGCCATAGCAACAAAAAGTTATATCCAACTCTGAGTCGTTATCTGGCTTCAAAACTTAAGTCCAAACTCTCGCAGTAGTTAAATGGTAAATCCATAGGTATAAGAATTATCCATGATTCCATTCTTATTTGTATGGTAAATCTCATTTGTAGCTGTAATCCATCTAGTCACAACCACAGTACATAGGGAGGATTGAACTGACCTTGGATGGTTGGCAGGAGATCTTTGACCCTAGTCAGGTTGGCCTTACAGTCTTGAAGCCCTGAGGATAACAACTCTTTCTGGACTAAGAACAGAAGAGATTTACATCAAATTAGAATACAGTGTAGTTCTGTTGAATTAAGGCCATAATACAAAAGGTATGTAGTTGGCAAACAAAACATTTGAAGTATAAAATTACTTTCCAATGCACTTCACCACACTCATATGACAAAATTTCCATTAGGGCCAGGACTTTTCCCTGGTCAAGAAAATCCCATGTCCTTTGTCATATAGAGTACAATGGTAGCATATACAATATCCAAACATGTTTTGGGGAAGCAATACTACTGCAGTGTAAATGTAATCCTAATCTTGATAACATGGAACTTTGTATTGAAATGAGAAGTTTGAGTTAAATTGGGTTCAACTTCCCCTTTACATTAGTATGTCAAATCAAATCAAGTGTTATTTGTCACATGCGCCGAATACAACTGGTGTAGAGTTTACCGTGAAATTCTTGCTTATGAGCCCTTCCCTAAAATGCAGAGTTTAAAATAAAAACAAAATAGTAACACAAGAGGAATAAAATAAAATACAAAAGAATGGAGCTATATACAGGGAGTACGAGTATCAGATTAATATGCTGAGGTATTTGAGGTAGATATGTACATGAAGGCAGGGTAAAGTGACTAGGCATCAGGATAGATAATAATAAGAGTAAAATAAAGAACAGAGTAGCAGCAGCAGCAAATTATGAGTATAAAAAGTGTGTGTGTGTAATGTGTATGTATGTGTGTTTGTGCTTTGTCGGTCTGCGTGTGTGTGTTATGTTTGTGTGTGTGTGTATGTAGTGTATGTGAATGTGGGTCAGTCGTGGGTGAACAGGGAGTACAGGAGGGGACTAAGCACACACCCCTGAGGGGCCCCCGTGTTGAGGGTCAGCGTGGTGGAGGTGTTGTTGCCTACCCTCACCACCTGGGGCCGGCCTGTCAGGAAGTCCTGACAGGCCAGCCCCACCAAGCCGCACTGCTTCTTGACACAATGCATGCTTAACCCGGAAGCCAGCCACACCAATGTGTCGGAGGAAACACTGTACACCTGGCGACCGTGTCAGCGTACATGCGCCGGGCCCGCCACAGGAGTCACTGGAGCGCGATGGGACAAGGACGATCCGGCCGGTCAAACCCTCCCCTAACCCGGACGAAGCTGGGCCAATTAATGATTTATATGAAGGATTCTCTCCAAATGTATATAAGTTTATAATGGTAAAGAGCTCTTGATCATTGATATTCTCACCTGTTAGATTCTCTTTAATCTGGTTAAAGCGAGCTTCCTCAGCATGAAGACTAGTCATGTTGGAAGCATCTGGAACAGAGACAAGGATACAAGATGGAGGGTAGTTGTTTTTCTCTTCTGTTTCTGGTCTGGGCTGGCTTGGATATTTTCTCTGCACATTGTCCTTTTCAGCAGAGTTCCAGGCCAGCAACTATGGTGGATATGTAGTGTAAAAGGGTTCAGTAGTGTAAAAGGGTTCAGTATTGTAAAAGGGTCAGGGTTCAGTAAAATGGTTCTATACTCACAGAGGACTCCCAGAGTGATAGCCAGGCCCAGCAGTAGAACACAGACACACACTAGGGTCACCACGGGAACACTCCTAGACCCTCCCTCAGGGATTGCAGCCTTTGACCCTACTGAGGGAGAGGGGTCACTAGTGCCAGGTTGACTTCCTGGAAAAGGAGTGGGGGTCAGAGGTTATAAGGTCATAAGGTTAAATAAGGGGTACTTAATGTAACCCTTAGCTAACTGTAACACACACACACCTCACCTTCCCCAGGATCCTCCTACTCTCTAGCTCTACCTCCTGGTCTTCTGACCTCAGAGTATGTGACATCCTCATCACCTTCCACTGTTCCTATGGCTACAGTAAGATGAAGTAAGAGATGGAGTTCCTTCTTTTGTCTCTGTTACGGATACAGGTATCCTGTGTCTTTTTGTGTTTTTCCTCTCCTTCTGCCCTAATCACAGGTGTCCTGTATGTTCCTGATTGGTGGTCGTTGAGGTGTCTGCTGATTGCTAAGGTGGACCAATCAGTGAACATTCCTCTGCATTGCACCACTGTTGCTGGTTTTTCAATCACACATCCCATTGTTTAAAAGCCGGTCAGTTGTGTTTGTTGTTAGCGAGACGATTTCCGTATGTGAGTATGGATACTGTGGTATCCTGTGTTTTGTGTACTCACTCATTTGCTGATTACTCTGTTTGGTAACTTTGTGTGTTTCTGGGAAAAGGGGAGTTTAAGCAAGTTGCCCTTGGGCGTACATTACCCGTAGGAAGAAAACTGTCTATAAACACTAGTTAGACCTGAGCGGACCACCCACTGTATTTTTGTATGATTGGCAGTAGTTTAGCGGTTATTGCGGCAGGCAAGATCAGTTTAGGAGTGTTTTACACTATTGTTTCATTTCTTGGGTCCTGCTCAGCCCTTTTTCCCAACATTTACCGTGTGTTCACAAATAAACATTTTATGTTTGACGGTAGTTTATGGTTGTCGTGTAGTTTTTGTTCTCCCTGTTCCATGTCACGATTCTAATTTGCATGATTTATGTTACGGGTCTCTTCTCCATCCACCCTAGACGTTTAAAGCCACGGGGTTCGTAACAGTCTCTATTGCGTGATTACATGATTTCACTAAAACCAACATGGTGATTACCACCTATTAGAAATGTCCCATTCTAGTTCCTCTCTCTCACGATCCACTATCTCAACATTCTATTAGAAATGTCCCATTCTAGTTCCTCTCTTACAATCCACTATCTCAATATTCTTTCCTTTGAGCTCTACTAGGTTAGAGTCCCTTGACTGGAAGGTCCAACATGCAAACCATTTTATTAACTGTTAGGGTAACTAACCAATCTAATATTCTAATTCAGCATATCTGAAGAAAAGCTAACTTATTGTCAAGAAAAATGAGGAAACACTTTTGGCCATGAACCAAATGTTACAGGTTGATGCTGTCTGTCTGTCTTTCTGTCTGTATGTCTGTCTGGAAGTTGGTTCACAGTGTGAAATCCAACAGACATGTCCAGAGTGTGACGAATAACAACTACTTTACATGGAACTGTCATCTTCTCATGCCCTTTAGATTGCACTAAAACTGTACATATCCTTCAAAACAGGACTCTATATGGAGAACCATTGTTGAGGCCCTATGGAATATATTCAAAAGGAAATGGACATGTCTGGAAGTCATTAATAAAACTAAAACATTTCACTATACATAATTATGCTATAGTACATTCTAAAAGAAATGCCTAGTGTCTCATACAATACCAGATGTTAAACATATAGTACTAATTCATATTTATCCTCAAGTACTGTTACAAACACACTTCAGAAATGCTCATATTGATCCCAACCAAAATATGCCTTATTTTCCCTATAGCCCCTGGGTTTACACAGTTATTATTTGTGAAACAACCATACAGTAAAACATCATCACTATAACTATAACCAGTTAATGAATAACAGTATATACAGCCTTCTTCTGTTACTAACTCCTTGTTGAATTATGACATTTCAACCCTCGCCCCCCAAGGTGATGAAATGTTGTATTGTAAACGTATGTTTGAAAACTAATAAAACGATATAAATGAGAAAATAAAGAGGAGGAGAGACTCAACTTTAGAAACTCCACTTTCTGCTCCAGCATCTTGGTTCTGATGCCGTGTGAATGTAACATCGGAGTAGACGATTTCACCAGACATCATCACTACTCTAAGTCCTCTCTCAGAGTGGAGACCAGAAGAGGAAGAAGTCCCTTAACATCACACATGCTCACTCATGAAAATCCCACAAACACACACTAGTAGTACACAAACACAACTGTTACGGAATACACAGGATGTTATGCAAACAACATGCACACAAAACAAGTATGCACGAAAGCATGCACACACACACACACGTCCCAGGAGAATGCTGAGTAAGGGGTGTTGAGGTGCAGTAAAAAACGAATATTCAGTTCCTATTTACCTCTGGGCTCCATTTGAATATGTTGTAATCTAGAACTTCATTTGATTATGTTGTAAACTATCAACCCTGTCATTGAACTGTATTACTGATGCCATCTCTAAAGGCATAGCCAAGACAGTTGACTTGTCATGCTCATTCAAACATGGCCTGTAGAATTTACAGTAGGTAGGATTCTAGCTAGCTGTAATTATATAGAGATATAAAATATTATCTGTCAGTTAAGTATCATTCATGATAGATGGTTAAAGAGAGACTGCAGATAATACATTATTTCTATATTCCTAATATAATATATAACATCATATATCAAATAATGTTTTATAATAATCATTTCATAATTTGACTCCTTTTGTGTGCTCTCTTGGAGGTCGATACTGACAGCTGTGGAAGAAAGTGTTGTTTTCTCTGAATCTATTTGTATAACCGGTGACAGTTACACTATTCTCATATTTATATACTGTCTCTGCTGACTGTTGTCCAAGGCAGGTACATTATGTGGTGAGGTGTGTTCAGATTAGGTATTCATCATTTGATCCTCTTTCATGGTTTTAAAATGACCAATTATGAACCAATGTGTCTGAAACTCAATTACTACTACTACTACTACTACCACCATGACTATGACCACTGGTACCACTACTACTACCACCACGACTACTACTGATAATAATAATGATAATAATAATATGCCATTTAGCAGACGCTTTTATCCAAAGCGACTTACAGTCATATAATAATATTGCTACTACTTCTGCTACCACTACTAATGCTACCACCACTACAACTACTAATGCTACTACTATTAATACTAATACTACTGCTGCTACTCCTGATAATATACTACCACCACTAATGCTACTACTACTAATAATTTTATTATTACTACTGCTACTACCACTACTAATGCTACTACTGTTAATATACTACATCCACTACTAATTTTATTATTACTACTACAGCTACTACTACTACTACTAATGCTAATATAATACTACCACCACCACTACTAAAACTACTCCTCTTAATATACTACTACCACCACCACTTTTATTACTACTACTACTACTACTACTAATGCTACAACTTTTAATATACTACTACCACTACCACTGTATCACCATGTCCTACAATACATTTTACAAATAGCACTATAGCCAACTGTGTTATTCTAGCATGACTTGTACATATTGTGAATAATGGGACTGCTGAGACACCTAGTGGAATGTATTGGATGTACACTACAGTATACACAGTATCATATGAATGTAATGTGGACAACTGAGAATGTTATCCATTCAGTAAGATGGTTCTGGATCTCAACATGTCTTCTCAATGCAACACATTAGAGTTTTCTCATCTGACAACAATATCATGACATTGGTGCACTGACTCACATCTCTTTTTGTTGTCATCAACAGTGGTAGTAACAGAGATGGAAGATGAATCGAGACATCTGACTTGCTCCTTTATTGTGCTTCTTATACAGTCAGTCAATGAATTAAGCAGACCAGACCCAGCTGCTATCGCATTGGTGTCTATGGGAGAGTCACTCCATAAAGCTGCAATATGTAACTTTTTGGGCGACCCGACCACATTCACATAGACATTTGAGTTATAGATCTGTCATTGTAAATAAGATTTTGTTCTTAACTGACTTGCCTAGTTAAATAAAAAATTAATTCTAATTGAAAGCATGTCTAAGAAGCGGTAGATCTGTTCTATTGGACGCTCTTTCTATCCTTCCCATTCTTGAGTTTCTTTTTTACGTCTTTTACTTTCAGTTTCGTACACCAGTTTCAAACAGCTGAAAATACAATATTTCTGGTTATTGAAAATAGATTTCACAGCGGTTTAGATGGTACAATGATTTTCTACACTTGCTTGTTTTGTCACATAAACTGAAATTAGGTGAACTATTAGAATTTTAGCAACCAGAAAATGGAGGAGCGATTTCTGCACCTTTTAGGCTTAAGCAGACCGGAACCGTTCAATGGTAAACGGCCTGAGTCAGACATCATCATTTATCCACCATCAGTGGGAGTAGTTTGCAGTTTGGCAATTCCACTCACAGGTTTGCATTATTTAAGTACATCATAGGTCAGCAAAAGCTTCTGCAACATTATACATGATATGGCTGAGAATGTGTTTCAGTTAAAAGAAGACACAGGTCTACGCCAATTTCCCAACAAGATTGTGTAGTGACCCTGGACAGCAAATAGCCTATGTTGGGACGAAGCGGACTCTCAGCCGCTCTCGTAATGAATGCACATATTTAATACTCCTTATAAATAGTTATAAATAGTTTGGCGCATTCATGTTTTCAACATGTATAAATTAATTTCTCCACATACTGTATATATTGTTGTTGTTTTCCACTTTTATTTGAGTATTTACTGTTTGAGGAAATGTTTAGTAAAGTTATTGGCGCATTTCACTTTCGTATTTAAATGCAGTAATTTACCCGTTTGCAATCCTCCAAGTGAATAAGATGTTCAAGTGGACATTAACAATCGTTACACTTACAGAACACATTTTTTAAATTTGTCCTTTGTTTGTAAATTAGCTCCATGTACAGCACCAGTCAAAAGTTTGCACACACCTACTCATTCCAGGGTTTCTCTTTATTTTTACTATTTTCTACATTTTAGAATATGAAAACTATGAAATAACACATATGGAATCATGTAGTAACCAAAAAAGTGTTAAACAAATCAAAATATATTTTGTATTTCAGATTCTTCAAATAGCCACCTCTCGTAATAAATATCTCAAAACGAAAAGCATAATTTTTGGGTAAAATCACTCGCTCAATGCTAAACCTAATGTATATCTATTATTGAATAATGCGGCGATTGAGCAAGTTGAGGAGACTAAACTGCTGTGTGTAACCCTAGATAGCAAGCTGTCATGGTCAAAACATATAGACTCAGTGGTTGGTAAAATGGGATGAGGTCTGTCCTTGATATGGCATTGCTCTACCTTGTTGACATCTCAGTCGACCAGACAAGTCCTACAGGCCCTAGTTTTGTTGCACCTGGACTACTGCCCAACTGTGTGGTCATGTGCAGCAAAGAAAACTTAGGTAAATTGCAGTTGGTCCAGAACAAAGCAGCACGTATCACACTTAGATGTACATGGAGGGAAAGTGTCAGTAACATGCATGTCAATCTCTCCTGATTCAAAGATGAGGAGAGATTGACTGCATCTCTATTGGTCTTTGTGCGAGGTATTGATGTGTTGAAGGTACCGAACTGTCTGTTCAAGCAGTTGGCACACAGTTCGGACACTCATTGGAACAACACAAGACATGCAACCAGAGGTCTCTTCACAGTCCCCAGGTCCAAAACAGAGGTTGGGAAACACACAGTATTAAATAGAGCCATGACTACATGGAACTCTCTGCCACCCCAGGTAACTCAAGCTAGCAATAAACCAGATAAAATAACACCTTACTGCACTAAGGGGGCTGTGAAAAGGCACAGCCATTTTATATATATTGTATTGTAATTTGCACTGTATTACGTATTAGACCTAGATCTTGTGTGTATGTACTGTTATGTAGGCTATGTGTGACATTTTACATTTATGTAGTTCAGTCCTTGACTAATCATGTTCTGTACTGTGTATTATGTCATGTTTCATGTGGACTCCAGGAAGACTAGCTGCTGCTTTTGCATCAGCTAATGGGAATCATACCTGACTGTTAGTGTGGCTGCAGCACATGGCTGGGGTCATTTAGCTTGTTTTTGCTGTTCTCCAAATAGCATTTGAAAGTTTATAATTGTATAAATTGCATTAAATGAGCTTCAACTTATTTTTATGTTTTTATTTGAAAGTAGAATTTGCTGTATTTTTTATATGTTGTATTTCACCTAATGTCATGCTTTTTCTGTAGTTGTTATAGGAGAAAGAGTGTTCCACTATGGAGCTTAAAATGGAGGTGTGATGTATATTATATTAATTATCTTATATTAAATAAACAGTGATGATTCCTCACATAATCACTTTGAAATATGAGTTGATGTAAGGGCATATTCCTTTTACTTTCTGCATTGCTGAGTTGAAACAATGCATTTACATACTGAAAATGCATTTCTTATTATGTAAAGCAAAACTAACAATCTCTATGCACCATAGTGATGTCAGTGTTCTGTAAACCAAATTCGGATTTGACTTCTACTGATATGAACCCATACAGAAGTGTTCCATGTCTGTACTATTATGATGAGATAGAGAGAGGAAGGAATAAGAGGGCAGACCCAGTAGACTGAGGGCTTATGCTGTTGCTATGTGACCAATGACCATATTAGTTTCTATATTGTGATCCAATAGAATGTGGAGTAGTTACAGGCCTGCCCCTGATGGGGGCGATAAGAAACCCCAGATGTTTACCTGGCTATAACCACCAAAGGTGAAGTCCGACTGCTTTTCCCCTGTAACCTTTCTCTCTCTATTTATGTTTGCTCCTTCATATGTTGCACATGTGTAACACACTCTACACTCTACAAAAATACACTTTCATATATTTAGAGGTAAATTGTTGGAAAAAATGCTCAAATGCTCAAATGTTTTGATTCATGTACACAGTTACCCAGTTACAGATTTGAAACTCCTCCCAACTTTGGTCTATGGTAATGACCTCCCCACAGCTGTTCCTCTGACATACACACACATACATACATACATACATACATACAGACAGACAGACAGACAGACAGACAGACAGACAGACAGA